CATTGCCGGGCTCCACCCAATGATCAGCAGGGAAATCGTTTGCCGATGCCAAAGGGGCTGGTTGTTGTACAGAACCGCCGGCACCAACCATCTGGACATCGTTGATGTTGTCCTCTTCCTCTTGGATAGGATTGGGGTGCCAGATATCCTTGCCTACAAGAATACATTAGAATAGAAAGTAACCGGAAACAAAAGACTTGCCTTTCATCTTGGATTTCCCACCCATCTTCTCTCCGGTGGCTTTGGACCGGATGGTCTTGGAGCAAGTGGCGACTGCGGCTGCAGGTGGTGCAGTGACGGTGATGGGGGTAATGGCGGTGGAAGAGGTGGTGTGTGTGCTCTCTGTGTTAGTCCGGATGCATGCCATCTTCTACAGATAGCACAATGAGCAAGTCAAGGCGATCTCACCTTTCTTCGTCAATCAGGGGCAACACTCAACATTCTTTGCCAGACATCTGTCACAAGGCAGATGGGGTTCATCAACACGGGGCTATGGAGAATTAGTTTGGTAAAGCATGGCATTGACTGGAAGACACACCGGTTGTGGCACTTTGCCCTTCTTACTGGTGGCCTTGCCCTTGGGCTGCATGGACTATTCAATAATGTTAGCGTTTTATATCACCTGTGCTATGACAAGCAAATCCTACCAGTTTTTGTCGTTTCCCTGGTCTGACAGTGGCCTGCATCCGGATGAGCGATAGACTGGCAAATGTGAAGAAGAATAATGAACTTGCCTTTGGCCTGCCTTGTGTATCATCATCCTCATCCTCCAATTCATCCTCTTCATCATCCTGAATCACAACCTGCTGACTTGCCTTCGATGCACTGCCCTTCTTTTTTACAATGATTACAGCCCTACGAGTTGATTTTGGGGGCTGCTTGTTGCATTAGTAATGTTGAATATCTCAACAAACAAACTTGCCTCAACGTCTGAAAGATCATCTACATCGATCCCCTCACCATCCTCATCGCTGTCATCTTCCAGTGCTTTTGCCTTCCCCTTCCCCTTCCCCTTCACCTTGTCATTGTCGGTAGTGTCAGTGTCAGACAAAATTTCCTTCAACTTTGGGGCAGGCTTCCGGGCCCAATTGACTCGAGGCAAAGGAGGGCTGCTGAGTCGGCATTTCCGGTTTGTTGATGGCCCTGCTGCTGCTGTCCCACCGGGTGCTACATCTTTGGGTATGCGAATGCTGATATGTGGCGCCGGTACCAGCGAAGGTGCAGAGGCAGGTACCAGTGCAGGCGCAGGTACCGGTGCAGGAGCAGGAGCAGGTACTGGGGCAGGCACAGGTACCGGGGCAGGAGCAGGAGCAGGTACCGGTGCAGGCGCAGGTACCGGCGCAGGTGCAGGAGCTAGTGCAGTCACAGGTGTGAGTACAGGTGGGATGAGGAGGAATGTGCTTACCAGTAGCTGCAGGTGAAACAGGTGGTGCATGACCCAATGTCTTACTGTACAATGGATGCTTCATGCACATATCCTGATTGTTACCAAGACGGTTCCAATCCGGTACTACCACCAATTGTGCAGTGCGCCTCTGAGCACAAAAGATCTCAGCTGCAAGTGACAGCAGGCCAGGGGGAACATATGAAGTGTCACTCCCATATGAACAAATCACGACATTCTGGGACCCTAGTGTCAATACAGGCAACTGACAGGACGACAAACATACCACTTCGCGAGCAATCTCACAGCTCAAGTCCATTTTCTCGTCCTCAGACTGCGACTGGAGAACCTCTTGAACCATCTCATTGAGCCGGGCAACAAGAGCGATGAGAGCCTGGTTGGCAGCAGCAGCAGCAGAAGCAGAGTGAGAAGACATGGTAGTGAGACAATTACAATAGAGAGCTAGTGGACAGGTCACCCAGAAGAGATGTGTAAAACAACCACACTTATAAAATTTTCAATAACCAGCTATCCGGGCCGACTCAGACATATCCGAGTCCATTGTTCACCTTCATTGTTGACACGTCATCAGTTATGAATTTTTGCCAACCAACCTGTGAGTAAATCATCCGGTCGCAGCCTTCTGTAGAACATTGATTCTTCCAGTGCTATCATGAGGACCGTGGATTTGTATGACCCATTCCAGAAAAAAAGAAGGATGCAATCATCGGCGATTGCTCAGCATAATCTACATGTATCTAGTGAGGATGTAGGTAAGAAACCATCACCTCCCACAACATACCAGTTGACATTATCCGGCATTCCAGTATTTAGCATCTTGGAGCCAGGGAGAGAGGAGCGCACTTACCACAACCCTTTCATGGTTTGTTCAAGCATGGGCGAATGTGAGTTCATCTCATGCTAAGCGATGGTAAGGACAATTCATATTGATTTTACAGATCTAGATGTCCTGTCAGCTCATGATGGGTGGAAAGACGGTAAAAGATTGAAGACGGTGAACTTTGAAACGGCAGATGACGGCCGGTCATTGGACTTGGGATTTCCTTCATCTGATTACGACCGGATGACCAACAACCACAACCAACCACAATCAGACATGTTGGATATGCAATTCCCCACCTTGTCTGATGATGACCGGTCAAATGGTGAGATGTTGGACTTGGGATTTCCCCCACAGCCGGACGATGAGGATATGCTCGATTTGGGGTTTGATATTGACGTCAGTGATCCGGCCGGCAACACAGGCATGTAGCTGGAATCTACATCTCATATACTGACATACTCATTTGAAACGATATGTGACTAGAAGATGGGGCTCTTGAAATGGGCTTCAACACACATCTGGCAGATGACTCGCTGGATAAAGGGAATAATATTCCACCAGAAAAAAATCCTTTAGAGATGGGTTTCGAGATGGATGTGGTGCATGTTGATCCGGATCAGTCTTGTAAGCCTTCTTGATGTTCCAGATATTGTTCTAATCATTTAAATTTAGTCGCCATCAGTTGACCAGATCCCATTGGATTTGTAATTCAACGGGCTGTAGGTGATTTGCGTGTGGCAATGCACCGGTTGCATATGGACCGGGCTGGTCATGCAATGTCGCCGGACGAAGCCTTTGCGAGAGAGCAAGTTCTTGACTGCACACAAGAGTTATTGTTGGCATGTCAACTGATATTGATATCTCGACTTTCAACGTGAAGTATATATTTACAGTCAAATGCTATCTACACATATCACTAGAATACTTGCTTGCAAAGATCCAAATTACTACAATTGCATATACTGAGCTTTATAAGAGGCCTTTGTACTTCTATGAGAGCACTTTGGCTCTGCATTGGTAGTCTGGGCTTCAGATCCTGTGGCTTTCTTGCCGGTGGCCCTTCTTGGGGCAGGGGGCATTGGTTTGGGCACCGGTGTTTTGTTAGTTTTATTCTTGGCATGGACACCTGATGTAGGGCCAAATGCACGACTTCTAGAAGGATGTTGCGAAGGCACAGGATCATTGTCATCATTACTGGTTGATTGTGCAGAACTGGTGCTGGTGTTGTCTTCTGCCTGTCCCCTCCCACTTGCAGTCAGCTTGGATTTTTTGACTGGTGGCCGACCATCGGACTCTAAATCAGATTGAATGGGAAGAGCCCTACCCCTCTTTTGGGTTGATTTTGATTTAGGTGGCGATGGGACCGGTATGGATTTCTTGACCGGTAGGCTAGTATCTTCCTGCTCTGAAGCCGGACTAGCCCTGTGGCGTGTATTGGTCTGTTTTGCCTTTGAAGGCGGTGGTGGGACCGGTATGGATTTCTTGACCGGTGGGCGAGTATCTTCCTGCTCTGAAGCTGGACTAGCCCTGCGGAGAGTATTGGTCCATTTTGCCTTTGAAGGTGGTGGTGGGACTGGTATGGATTTCTTGACCGGTGGGCTAGTATCTTCCTGCTCTGAAGCCGGACTAGCCCTGCGGAGAGTATTGGTCCATTTTGCTTTTGAAGGTGGTGGTGGGACAGGTATGGATTTCTTGACCGGTGGGCGATTTTTGATAGATTTCGACTTTGGAGGTGGTGATGGGCGGTCGTCATCGTCATCGTCATCGTCATCGTCATCGTCATCGTCGTCCTTCTCCTCTTCATCTTCATTATCCTTGTCCTCATCCTCACTACTAGACGGCTGTTCCACCCTCCCGGTGCGCTTTCCGGTGGACTTTTTCACTGGAACCCTGGGTCTCATGTCAGAACTATCGCCGGAGATTATCTCTGCCAGTTCTCTCATTGTCTTATCATCACCTTCCCAGCCTTTAAATTCAAAGGTTGGGTGAACCTGGTCCTTCTGTCTTTGACACCACAACTCTAACAGCCGGTCTGCATCAGCCAACCGAATCTTTGACAGATCATCGAGCTTCCAACCAGTAGGTAAAAACTTGGCTGCAATAAAGTCACCCTGAGCCATCCTCACTGAGGCCCAAGGAACAGACACCTTTGGTTGTTGGCTGCACAATCCTGAAAAATAGCCAGTCAGTGCATCAACTCCAGATGCATCATTTGTGAAACTGACTGTAGTGTTTTGTGAGGAACGTTCTTATAAGACACTTTTTACTCTCTAGGTTAAGCTCTTTGACGTCCGGTATGACCGGAAGCCCATAGCTATCCACCTCCAAAGGATAATTGTCCTTCTTTCCGCCTTTCTTCCTGCTCTTCTTCACCTCCCCCTCATTATCATTGTCATCATTATTCAGGTCAACTTCTGGTATCACCCCAGGTCGGATAAGTACTTGACTAAATGGCGCAAGATTTTCAAACAGAAGCTCACCAAACTCTTCCACAGCATAGGCATTCCACTCTGATAACATGGACTTCCAGTCCTTCGTATCGGTAAAACTATTGCCCTCCAACTTTTCATTGAAGTCAATTCTTTCAACCGGATCAGTATATCTTTACCGGTTGAGTGTGAAGTGGAACTCACCCGTTGATCTGCAC